TCTAGCATTCTATGCATCTAGGATACCTCCAAGTCAAGCTGTTGAAGGTCACTGCTAAAATGCCTCAACTGTTATCTGAGAGATGAGCAGAAAGGAGGAACATTAGGGAGAAGGAAAACTTCCCTAATAAACTCATCACGTATTACTTTGTAATATGATTATCTGAGTTTATGCCTTATTGGGTAAGTCGCATGAGGGCAGTGCTTGGCATGGTATCAGTATTTCATACGATATCTTTTTCTAAATTACCATTTTTCAATTAACAAGCATTTTCTTTTCTCTTCCCATCTCCCCCACTCCCCCCCCCAAGAAAAAAGGCTTTATAATAAATATGCATAATCAAGCAAAATAAATTCTCATATTGGTCATATCCAAAAATACACATCACATTATGCATCTTGAATCTATCATCCCTCTTTGAAAGAAGTATGTAGCATTCTTTATCATTGGTCTTCTGCAATCAAGTTTGGTCATTTCATTGATCATAGTTCTTAAGTCTTTCAAAACTGTTCATCTTTATAGCATTGTTACTGTATAAATTATTGGTTATCAAAGTGTGGTCTTAGGACCCCTGGAGGTCCCTGACATCTCCTTTCATGGAGTCTTTGAGGTCAAAACTTTTTCATAATAATATTAAGACATTTTAATTACTAATAATACTATATTACTAATTACTATATATTATTATATTACTATAAATTACTATATTATACTATATATACTACTAATTACTATGTTATTAATAATATATATATTACTAATAATAAGTGCACTGTGTATGTATAGGGAGAGAGAGAGAGCACTTTTGCTTACTTGGAATATATATGTGTGTATATATATATATATATATATATGTGTGTGTGTGTGTATATTTACATATACACATATATACATGTATACACACACACACACACACACACACACACACACATACGTAATATATGTGGGTCTATATCCCAAGTAAGCTAAAGCTCTTTGGGATCTTCAATAAATTTTAGGAGTGTAAAGGGGTCCCAAGACCAAAAACTTCGAGAACAGCTGGTATAAGTTATCCTCCTGGTTCTGCTCACTTCACTTTGTATCAGATCATAAAAACTTCCCAGGTTTCTCTGAAACCATCTCCTTCATCATAGTCTAAGATTCAATAGTATCCCATCACACTACTTTACTATAATTTATTTAGCCATTCCCCAATTGATGGGTACCCTTAGTTTCTAGTTCTGTGTCACCCAAAGAGCTGCTATAAATATTTTTGTATGTATGAGTCTTTTTCCTCTTTCTTTGATCTCTTTAGGAAATAAGTCTAGCTCTACTAGGTATCATTGGGTTAAATGGCACGGTATCTTGCACATAGTAACTACTTAGTAAATATTTCTTAAAAGAAGGAAGAGAGGAAGCAAAGAAGAGGAGGGAGAAAGAAGGAAGATGAACTTTACCTACTTCACAATATTTTCTGGAGCTAGTAGTATTCATTCCTCCCCCACCTACAGAGATGACATAGGTGTCAAGACTCTTGAATTAATGGAATTACAGAAATAGTTATTATTCTGTACCTTGATTGAAAAATAGAGATAACTCTCCACAACATTTCCCTACTAAACTCAACCCTAATGATTACAATAATCACATTGACCTTTGGGTTTAGTTCATTTCTGATAAATTCTATTCACTAAATACCTCCTATGGTCCAGGTATCATGGTGGGCCTTAAATATACAAAGACTAAAACAAAACAGTCTCTCCCCTCAAGTGGATTACATTCTTCTGCAAGACATTGGGTTGGATCAAAATACCACAAGGCCATGGATTTATAGCTAAAATTTGTCTATTCTTTTTTTTTTTGGCTAGGCAATGGGGTTAAGTGACTTGCCCAGGGTCACACAGCTAGTAAGTGTCAAGTGTTTGGTCTGAGGTGGGATCTGAACTCAGGTCCTCCTGAATCCAAGGCCAGTACTCTATCCACTGTGCCACCTAGCTGCCCCAAGTTTATCTATTCTCACTCCTGCATTTTACAGATGAAGAAACTGAAACCAAAGAGGTTAAAGGTTATGCAGGTGATAGGACTTGGATTTGAACCAGGACTGGAGTTGAAACAAGGTCTTCTGGCTCCAAATTGAACATTCTTTCTGCTACTTGACTCTCATGCCTACTGAGTCCCATCCTTTTACTTTTTTAAACATATCCTAGAAATTTACAAATGGCCACAACTAGGAGGAATAGTGTTGTCACCTCCATCATGTATGGATAGGATGCAGAGTTCATAAAGCACTTTCTACAACTAAAAAAACCAGGTGAATGAGACCCAGCAGGGATTGTAATCCCTGTTTTGCCAGTGAGGAGACTGAAGCTTAGAAAAGTTAACTGATTTGCCCAACATTGCACACCTTTTTGGTGCAAAGCCAGGACTGAAACTCAAGTTCCCTGGTACTTCTCTTATAGCTTCCCACCACCCTATGCTGCCTCCTAGATGAGACTTTTAATTTCCTCAGGGTATGTACTTTCGAGTCCTCTTAAGAGCTGCCAACCACAATACCAATAAAAGGACAAAGCAGTTGGAATTGGAAAACTTGATGGCCTGGGGAATACAGATACTCATTGTGAACTCTTTTGGCTACATTGTCAGGTCAAATCAGGGTTTCACCCAAGTTTCTTTGAATCCTTTAGGAAAGGGCTGCAGATACAGACACATGGAGTTCTCTTTGCAGTAGGGAGAGTCTTTGTATGCATTTGCGGGAAGGGGAAAAGCATTTATATGGTGCTGAATGTGTGCCAGGCACTGTGCTAAGCACTTTTACAAATAGTATTTCATTTGGTGTTCAATACCTGTAAGATAGGTATTGTTATAATCCCTATTTTATGGTTCAGGAAAATGAGGCAGACTGAGGTGAAGTGACTTACCCAGAGTCACACAGCTAGTAAATGTCTGAAGCTGGATTTAAACTCAGGTCTTGCTGACTCCGGCCCAGTGTTCTATTTACTGCACCAGCTAACTACCTCCATTTCGAGCTCTGCTACCTTACTATGGCAGAAATGTACCTAATGGATATGTTAGACCCACTCTAGTTGCTCCTCTATGTGACAGAGTTATTTCCTGGCAAGTTAGGACATCTGAAATCACACAGAGATGGTACCAGGTACCCTGAGAAACAGTATGACACAGTGTAAAGAGGGCTGCATTCTGGAGTTAGAGAATGTGGATTAGAATCCTGTGTCTACTCAGGATTCTGGGCAATCTGTATAATCTTGGCAAGTTGCTTAACCTCTCTGTGCCTCAGTCTCCTTAACTGTAAAATAAGAGCTTTGACTAGATAATCTCTAAAGTTCCTTCCAAGCTCTAAATTTAGAGCAGATAGTGGTGTAGTGACGTAAAACTCAATTACAAATGGATCTCTGCAAGGTGTCGTACCGACTTAGAAAATCACACATCAACATTAACTATATTGTACTGTTTTTTATTTATGTTATTCAACATTTCCCCAATTACATTTTAATCTGTCTTGGGCCTCATTCAGTTTTGCTAGGCAGGAGTTTGACACTTCTCCTGCACCGGATAGAGCACTGGACCTGGAGTCAGGAAGATACGAGTTCAAATCCAGTTTCAGACAATTACTAGCTGTGGGACCCTGGGCAAGTCATTTAACCTCTGTTTGTCTCAGTTTCCAAAATATAAAATGTTGTGGGGATCAAATGAGATGCTATTTGTAAAGTGCTTAGCACAGTGCCTAGACCTAGCACATAATTGGTGCTAAATAAATGCCTGTTCCCTTTATTCCTTCCCTAAATGTAGGATTTTATGACTCAGCAATCACCAGGAATCCTTTTCTGAATTCAGTTCTAGACTGCACTGTCTCTAAAGTTCTCTTCCTAGTGGCCCTGAAGAATTTAAGACAAGTCTAATCTCTTAGATCTTAGAGCTGGAAGGGACATAGAAGCCCTCTATATCAACCCCTACCTGACCAGGGATTCTTAAAGACCTGTGAAGGAGAACCTGCTATCACTGGTGTAGCAGACCATTCCACTTTGGGATATCTCTAAATGTCGGGAAAGGGCTTTTCTTTCTTATATCAAGCCTAAATCTGCTTTTTTGCAATTTCCTCTCCTGGTTCCTTCTGTACTGATATAATCATTGGTAGTCTTCAGGATATGATTCTGGTGTCACCAAGAAAGTTATTGTCCCCTAAAGTCTCTTTCACCTTACTGCTAATTTCTGAAATTCCTTTGAGATCAAATGAAACTTTTCATAATATAACTAGAAATAAAACTTGTGCCCCCAAAAGAAGGAATCCAGCAACTTACCTTTATACTGAGGTGTAAATGATTGCGAGCAAATATTTTTCTAAGAGTAAGTTTGTATAGGGAAGGGTTCTTAACCTAAGGTCCGTGAACTTGCTTTTAAAAAATATTTTGAAAACTGCATTTCAAGACAATTGATTTCCTTTGGAATCCTACATATTTTAATTTATTAAGTTAAAAACATTATTCTGAAAAGTGTTCTGAAGGCTTTGACAGATTGTCAAAGAAGTTCAAGACAAAAAAGGTTAAGGACTCCTGGCTTGAGGAAAGAGATTAAAAGGGCTTTATAAGACGGATAGGCAGGTGGGAAAGGGTGGGGGGAGGGGGAAGGGGAGATTAGAGGAATGGAACAGAACAAATGGGTTGTTAGGGTTCCAAAAACTAATTTCAGTATTGCACCACAAGCCAGCCTTAAGAAACAGCCCAGTATAGTGAAAAGAGTACTAGATTTGAGAAAGCACCTGAGTTCAAAAGCTAGCTCTTCCACTTAATTACCTGGTGACTTTGGACAGGTCACTTCATGCCTTTGGGCCTCAGCTCCCTCATCTCTAAAATGAGGAAGTTGTACTAGATGATAGCTAAGCTATCTTTGGTTCTAAATCCATGATCCCATGAGCCTTCTGAATTGCCCCCACTCTCACCCCATCTACATCTGTGCCTCTCTCTGCTACAGAGCCACAGACCACCAAAGAGAAATTCATCACTTACCTTGCACAGCTTCAGAATGAGCCAGCATGCCAGGTAGGCTGACAGGGTGAATTTTGCCTTCATGTAGCCATCAGGTAACGGGCTGAGGTACAATTGCAGCCAATCCAGCTCCTGCGGTACCACATTGCTGCTATTATCACCCTCTTCCTCCTCTTCTAATCTCCTGAGACCTTCTTCCATGGCAAGCCTGGGGCCCCTGGGGAACTCCATTCCACCCAGGGATCTGCTCCCGCACCTGGTACCCAGCCCCTGTCTTTCCCCTGGAGTGAAGCAAATACCTCCTGGAGCCCTCAGGGGGCCAGCGTCTTGCTCTTCTGCAGCAAGACCCTGTTATCTGCACTCGGAGCTGAAAGTCAAGAGAGGACGGAACAAAGTTTCTGCAGTCACGGGCTTCTGGCCAACTGCCCCACTCTCATTGACAAACCGCTCGCGAATATGTGCGTGTGTGTGTGTGTGTGTGTGTGTGTGTGTGTGTGTGTGTGTACGTGTGTGTGTGTGTACGTGTGTGTGTGTATGCAGCTACAAGATAAATATAGCTGGTTAGAGAGCTCCGTCCCAGAGTACAAACACCCCTGCTGTTGCCAAGAGAGTGGAGAAGGAGTCCATTTATTTAAAGAGCTAGCCTCAGCATCACTGGTCCCCTACTTTGGGGGGGGGGGTAATTGGGAGGAAGTGTTTATTTTTGAAGACTCCTTTCTGTCCCCCTTTTGCCAATTGCACTTCCTCAGAACAAACCCCCAGTTCCGCTGAGCAACTATAACCCAAGCGAGGATTTTCGCTCATTCCCCAGCTCACACTTTACAATCCTTCATTGTTCAGGAGGCTGCAGATGCTGAGCTTGCGAAGGCTAAATCATTTTTTAAAAGAATAAATGAGGCCTCGGGGGTGGAAGGAGGCCAAGGCATTCTGGAATGGGGAGCGGACCCATCCGCTGGCCCAAACTGAGGCACGTTGGAGCCCTGTGGATGTGGTTTCCAGCTCCAGGTTCAGAAACATTTCTTGTTTATGTTTCAAGACAGCTCTTATCCCCGACATGCAAAGAAGCTGGAAGAGATGCTTCCTTAGCCATTAATGGCTTGCATCTGCTCTGTAACTGAACGGTTTCCAGGACTGTGTGAGAGATTCACACCCATGTAAGGCACCCCCTTAAGCCCTTGGCGTTTAGATGGAATTCGCAACCCAGTAAAATGTATTTCTGCCTAATAGTGAGCACTAACAGTCCTGGCAATGAGTTTGACCAGTCAGTGCAGTAGACTCATCCTGAAGGGTCAGTGAATAAGCTAAGACCATGTGTAGACTACTCTAAACTTCTGAATGATTGACCAAGTTCTTGACTAATGACTAAATTTTTCAGTGCCTTGAACGCGTACCCAATGTGTCATTGATATTTGTGGGGACCTAAGGAATGTCATCTTACTTCTCTGGGTCCCAATTTCCTCATTTGTCCGATGATGGTAACACCAAACTTACCTGCTTAAGGGTAAGGGAGAAAGCTAATTAACTAGTAATTAATTAGCCTCCCAAACAAGGAAGGACTGTGAAGCCTGTGAGCTGGGGAATGTACAAAAATCTTTCTTAGATCACTGTTGCTGAGCAGAACTGGGGCTTGTTCTGAGGAACTGCAGTTAGCAAAAAGGGATATAGAAAAGGGTCTTCAAAAGGAACAGCTTCCTCCCAACTCTCTTCCCAGTCCCCCGTAAAGCAGGGAACCAGTGATTCTGAGTCTGTGGGGCAGCAACTATCTATAAAGCAATGCTTTTCACCCTGTGAGGAAAGCAAATTATAGAACATGGTCTATATACATGATCCCTGCCCTCAACTAACTGGGAGTCTAGCAGAAAAAAGAAGGAATTCACAGAAGAAAAGATAATGAATAAGATAAGGCATTATATGGTAAGTGCCAGCTTAGCGATACAAACACTAAGAACTAGAGTTCAAAGTCACAGAAACTACCATGTGCCTGGGAGGTCTTGAAAGGCTTCATGAAAAGAGACAGGGTTTGAGCAAGGATGGGAAAGTTCATATTACAGACTTTTAAAACTAAAAAGGATCACTTTCAGTAATGCTCAGTAACAATATTGAAGGTAGCATCTACTTGGCACAGTAGAATTCCAGGCCCGGAATAGGGAATACTCATCTTGAGTTCAAATCTGACCTGAAACACTATCTGTGACCCTAGGCAAGTCACTTAACCCTATTTGCCTCAGTTTCCTCATCTGTAAAATGAACTGGAGAAGAAAATGGCAAACCACTCCATTAGCTTTGCCAAGAAAACCCCAAATGGGGTCACAAAGAGTCAGGCATGACTGAAAACAACTGAACATCAATGAAATGACAATGTTAATAATAACTCACTGTTTTTGAGTTATTGTTAATATCAAATAATGTCACATGATACCAGACAATCTAGTAATTGTCTGAATCTTCGACTGAATTAGCCAGGGACTTCATCGTGTTTGTTGTGCCCAATCAGTGCATTCTATCTAGGCATATAATCTTTTGACAAGACATATGTAAGATTGGCCCTTGATAATGTCTCCTAGCTAATAGTAATAATCCTAATTACTAATTGCAACTCCTAAATAGCAGAGCAAATGGCAACCTAATCTCTTCAATAATTTTTAACACTCCACTGAAATGCAACTAACAAAAGTAAGGCAGGGATGATAGAGAAAGGCTTGGAGCAAGAGGGAGCATCTAGGTGGTACAGTGGATAGAACCTGGAGTCACGAATACCTAAGTTTAAATCTAGCCTCACATTTATAAGCTGTATGACCCTGAGCAAGTCATTGTCTATCTCAGTTTCCTCGACTATAAAATAGTGATGATAATAGCACCTACTTCCCAGGGTTGTTATAGAGTTCAAATAAGATATTTGTAAAATGCTTGGTATGGTGCCTGACACATAGTAGGTGCTTAATAAATGCTTCCTCCCTTCTGGACCACTAGTTATACTTTTCCAACTTTCCTAGTAACAACACACCAATATGGGAAGGATCTGTGTTTTTGGCAATGTGAGTAACTCCTGGTATAAGAATTTTCTTTACTAGAGTAGATTAAATACTCTGTGACTTATAAGTTCTATAGGGTTTCCTGAAACACATAGAAATTAAATGGCTAAATTGCTTGCCCACAAATCATTCAGCTGACACTCGGTTTCAGAATCCAGATTTGAACCCAGGTCTGTTCTGACTCTTAGTTTTGCATTTTATCCTCTACCCTAGGCTGCCCAGGATCAAGAAAAACTCATATTTTTCTGGTGCTTTTCAGTTTATGAGGCTCTTTCCTCCCAGAAGTCCGTGTATCATGGCTAGTATCATGGCTAATCATGGATCTTATTTCATATCCAGGGCTCTTTCTACAACACCATCCTATCCCCTAGAAGAGGAGAATTATGCACCTATCATTCTGGCTCTCCTGCTCACAAATGGAAAGAGTTGGTGCCTACGTGTTGCAGGAGCTGGTTTTGAATGCACAAGGGCTGCCCTGCTCTCCCAAATTCCCTCTTTGGCTGCTGCTTCTCTAGGAGGCACGAGTCTGGAACAGTTCTAACTAATGATGACTCATCCTTGCCCCTTCAGAAAGAAAATTGCATCCATCTCCCACAAGTTTGGCCACTTGTTAAAAACTGGTAGTGAGATCATCCAAGAATTTCAATCAGTGACAGAATTCACCTGTAGGCCTCTGATTTCCTTTAACACCTATATAAACTTAGCCCCTCTCTTCTTTCCCTCACACCCAGCAAACTGTATGAAATAGGGCAGAAAGCAACCCACCTCTGTCCTAGAAACAGAGTTCACTCTGGAGGGAGGGGGGAATTGTTTGACAGTGCCCTCATTTCCATCTTCCCACATTTAACTCCAGCCAGGCTAGACCTCTATCTCTCTGGCCCTATTATTTCTGCTTCAGTTGTCTACTCTGGATTCCATCTATCTCTTGCTTATTTAATTGATGGGATCCTTCTATACCTATTTCTCCTGGAACCCAACCTCTGATCTTTCAGACTGTACCTGATTAGTCAGATTCTCAATCCTGAGTCTTCTTAATTGTCTTTGTCCTCTTCCCTTGTGTAGGTAATGGATTCAAGGTCAATGGAACACAGCTGGAGTGATATTCCCGAAATGAAAACTGGGCACTTCTGCCCACCGGTGAGTTAAAGTAGATAGAGTACTGAGACTAGGCAAATGCAGAAGACCAGTAGTATTGATATAATCTTCAAATGGGCTAACCTTTGATGACTTATGCTGCAATCTTAATAATACCTGTGTTATTAATAACATTGATAATTATTCATTGTGATTAATTATTAGTGCTATTAGTAACACTAATAATTATTAACTCCCTAGCAGAACCAGATATGGCTTGAAGCCTAGTGTTGTAGGTCTCCTGGGCAGCTTCACTAGTTTCCTTGTGTTGCATGTATGGGACCACAGAATCCCTAGGAAAGATGATCAGAAACACATGTTCTATGGCTTTGCAGATCTTCCATGCTGCATTTCTCAAGACTTCTATATTATGCCCCAGAAACCTCTTCATCCTGGAAGATCACGTCAGTCCTGAAACCCACGTTAGTCAAGTACCCCCGGCCCCTGGGGCCCCTTGCTCTGATTAAAGACTAGAGAGCTCCTCTCAGTCTCCATTTTAGTGAGAAGCCCTAGCCAGCTGTCTCTTCATTTTGCACCAGGCTTCACTCCTCTAGACTTTTCCATCACGCCCCTGTGCTGACTTCTTTCCTCCTCTCCCTTTCCCATTTTTTAGCTTCTTTTTATGTATTGTCTTCTCTATTAGAATGTAAGCTCCCTGAGAGGATTCTGGGAAGATGGTGGAGTAGGTCAGCATATTTCAAGCTCTCCAGATTTATCCCACAAACAAGACAAAATTAACATAGAGAGGGTAAAAATAAACAGAGTTGGGGCAGAACAGTAGTCCTTCGGGGGACAACCAGAAGGAAAATCCCAGGACTGAGGTTTGGTCCCTATGAAGTACAAACACCTCCAGGCTAGTTCTGCTGAAACAGCAGGAGGTGAGCCCTGGGGATAGCTGGGTTGGGAGGTAGGCTCAGCCCCAGCCAAAGGAATTTTCACCTTCTGTACAATGCGGGGAGTCTGGAGTCTGAGCAGGGAAAGATTGAGGAAACTTCTGCTGATAATGGATGCCTGGCATAGCTGTGCTACACATACATGGCTCTGGGTGAGAAGGAAACAGTACACACCTGGTGAGTACAGAAGCAGTAGGGCACAGATGTTGTTGGCCATGGACACTTAGAGAAGGGTGGAATTCTTGGTTTCATTGTCAGGCCTGAGGAGAGAACTGAAGGAGGACCTGAGGCCAGAGGCACAACCCCATATCCCAGGACTAGGGGTAATTACAACAATTTGCTATTTTTTTAAAATGAGCAGACAAAGGAAAAAGAACCCAACCACAGAAAGTTACTATGGGAATAGAGAAGCCAGGGATTTGTCCTCAGAGGAGGATACTAAGGCAAAAAAAAGCCTGTCCCACCCCAAAGAGTAATGTCAAATGGTCACTTTCCTAAAAAGAATCCACAGGATA